GTTGATTTGACTTACTCGCACGCGCATGAAATGTAAGAGTTTATGAGAGCTGGTTCATATAATTAACACAGAAACATAATCAAAGACCTTTTTCACGAACTTTCATATTTCAAACGTGTCTCTTTTTCTAGTCGAAAACATACGAACAGTTTTGCAATTTGAACTTTCAGGTGTCCATACTCAAGAAGTAAACGTATTTTAAAGTTGACTGTGGAATATTCTCGCAAATTTTCAGCTTTTTATCTTATCTGGTCCCCGTGTTAGAATGATGCAACAATTCTCAATTTAAACTTTCATGTGCCTGCTTACCTGACGTAGAAGTACTTGAGAGTTCATCGTTTTGCGCGAACAAAACGATGCATGAATGGAATAGGTGCCAGATCCGTACTAGACCGCTCTTTTTTTATCGCAATGACATGTCACTATTTTAATTGTTGTTTGACAGCTTTTCAATATTTTTAGTCGCTAGCTAAATTCTTAGCTAATAGCTTTCGCTGATTCATGACCGTATAGTTGTGGTTGTCTCATTAGGTCATCAACGAATTAAACTAGCGTTTTCATGTTCTGTATTTTTTAACATAATTATTATTTCGATTAGTTCTTTTTCTCCACTGTTGGAAATCGACGTTTTGTTCTTTGAAAGACGGGTGTTTAATTAAATGCATCCGTCAATATTTCAATTTTATGCATAAAGGATTTTAAACACGTAATAAGAATAAGGTGTATGAAAACCTATTTTTTTATAAAGTCTAGTCATTAAGCAGAGATTGTCAATGAGAAAAAGCTTGGCTTTTTGTAATATAAATTAGCTGGCCTCCCCTTGTTGTATATTACCGCAAGGAATACTGCTTCCCAACAAGAAAGCAATTTCACATCATATTAGAATTTCTAGTCAGAAAGTAATTTCTAGGGTTGCGAAACAGTGGAAATGAACAAAACAGATCTATGACCTTTCCAGCATTTTAAAGCCTGTATACCTTTTTGAATATTCGGAGAAGCAGTGCTTTACTGCTGACCATGTCTAGTGCTGGTTTGGCTTTTACGTCACTGTTCCAGATGTCACCAAGTTATTTAGACCATGTTTTTTGTTCTTCGAAAGTACATGCAATGATTGTGAAATTTTTTAACTGACAATCGTGTGATAATGAAAAAAATTATGGCTCGTTCAAGTATATGCCATGTTGTTTAACGGACGGGCGTGATTTGGTTACAAGCAATGATATCCGACGAACTTAGATACGTGGTCGTCGAGTCGCATAAATGCAAACATTTTGGGAAGTTCCAACGCTCTCCTTGTCGAAGGAAAAGAAATATGTACACAGAAATCACTTACAATCCAAAAACGCTGATAAAATGAAGTTTTGTGCGCTGCACATGCGTTTCACTGCACGCGCGTCTGAAAACAAAGGATTGATTCCAGTCCATTACAGCTGAGGTAATTCGCAGCTCGCTTGAAAGAACAGCATTGCTTCACGATCCACAAACTGGCTCTGCTCGTAAAAAATGGTTGCCCCTAGAAGCCAGAGCAGTTCCACAAGCTATCATCACTGCCATCATCGCCACATTCCATTTCTGCATTTTCGTCTTCAGACAACTCTGAAAGCGATGAATTCGATAACCATGGTTGGAGTTGGAAATCCACTAGCAAGATTTTTGTTTCTCGTCTTGCTGGCCAAATTGCTTGAAAATGAGATTGAAAAACAAGTGTTTTTGCTCATTTTGAATAAATTGTAGGTTCAGGTTCAATTTAAATCGAAAATTTAAAAGATGAATTTTATAGCACAGTAAATAAACAGAAGGAACAAGGAGAATTTACAGAAATGCATCTGAATACTTTAGAAATCACTAACAAAAACAGTTAACCTCGGAGGAAGAAAACACTCCTCAATTAATAGCACTGATGAAATTGTTAATTGCAAAAAAAAAAAGTTCCTCGAAGATGAAAGTATTACCGGAGAAAGCAAGACATGCAGGGAAATTACTCGTGTCGGTGTATGCAGTGCATTCCGGTAGAAGTCTTTCCATGCGCTGCAGTGCTAGATAAATAAATGCGTATTGTTCCGGCAACTGCACCGCTCCATACCTGCACATTTCCCACACTAGTATTTTGTTTGAGAAATCACTAGTTCGTTTTTTATGCTTCCAAGCTCTTTTTATAAATTTACAAATCTGTTTTGTTTTCATGTGTTTATAAGCGTATCGACGCATACCTTTGCATGCGTAATCGGGATACAATCGAGAAGATGTTTATATCTTCAGGAGTTTCACAGAGCTGCTGGACTCCCTGAGCTATCGCGATAAATGTGCATGTTCGACCTATTCCAGCGCTATAAATTAACTGATCTTGTTTTAAGAAAAATTGTAAAAAGCCAGCTTCAAACTGCTGCCCAGAAAAGTAAAAAAACCCCAGGTTTTAAGAGCGCCTCTC